CAATATTTATGTTTGGTCTTGGTATATATCCACGTCTTGTTATACAAGATGCTGATTTAATTAGTGATATACTTGGACGTGCACATGCACAAAATTATTATAAACCAATTGATCTTATTTTTCGTCTTAAACCACTTATTGGTTTACATAATCTTTTAATTAGTAATGGTAATGAACATGAACGAGCAAGAAAAATGTTAAATCCTGGTTTTCATTTTGAAAATCTTCGTTCAATGGTATCAATTATGACCGATCATACAATAAAAACAATTAATGAATTACTTGAATCACGTGAAGAATCAATTAATTTACAAAAAGAACTTAGTCTTCTTACATTAACAATAATTGCATCAAGTGCATTTGGTGAAAATTTTGAAACAATAGCTAATGCAAGAGAAATTGTTTGTGAAGCATTTATTGCAGCATTAGATGCTATTGTTAATCGAACATTATTATTAATTGATCAAATTCCATTATTTTCAAGATTACCATTTTGGGGTAAAGATATTGTTGATAGAGGCTGTGAAAAAGCTTTAAATTTTGTTGAATCTATTATTGCTGATAGAAAACAAGGTCGTACAAAAAATATATGTCAACGTGCGGATATTCTTGATTTACTTTTACAAGCTGTTGATAGTCATGGAAAACATTTTACAGATGAAGAAATTCGACAAGAAGCAATGGTCTTTGTTCTTGCTGGTCATCAATCAACAGGTGATCTTATGGCATGGATTATGTACGTTTTAATGACAAATCCATCTGTATTAGGTGCTTGTCGTGATGAAGTTGATCGAGTTTTACCAAATGGTATGATTCCAACATATGAAATATTAAATGATTTAAATATTTGTGAATCTGTTATATATGAAACATTACGTTTATATCCACCAATACCATTTTTTGTTCGTCAATGTATACGTGAACATGTTATTAGTAGTCCAAATCAACAATTTTCTATACCTGTTGATGCAACTATTCTAATTAATACATATTTAATTCATCGTCAACCTAAATATTGGTCTCGACCACTTGAATTTGATTATACTCGATGGATGCGTGATCCAATAACAGGTCTTAGATCTAAATTGGCTCATCCTTATTGTTATTTACCTTTTGCTGCAGGATCACGTAATTGTATTGGTCAAAATTTTGCATTACTTGAAGCAAAAGTTATATTAGCTATGTTTGTTCAACGATGTAATTTTGAACTTCAACCTAAAAATCAAGATATTACCATGGATATTCGAATTACCATGCGATCGAAATTTGGATTATTTAGTAAGATTACGAAAAGGAAATGAAAAATAATTGTTGTAAATTTGTGTAAAAATTAGTCATAAAACTTATTGTTTATTAGTGTTGTATTTAAACGTTTATGCTTTTATTGTAAAAATGTATAGAAAATTTTTACTTAATGTCATTTAATTTGTTTTTAATTAATAAATGTGATTGAATGACAAGAAAAATTTAAATGACATTTTATGTATTCGGTACATATTTTTTGTTTGAATTTATCAAAGAATGACATGAAGCATTGTCTTTTTTAGAGAATAGCACGTGTTAATGTACTTAAAATTTATGTTCGTCATAGGCATTTTTAACATAATTACTCAATAACTTCTCATTACCAGGCGACATCGGGTGAAATACTATCAATATTCAAGTACTTCATATTATTCGAAGTACTCACTTAAACATAGGTTTTTTTTCTGAGATAAATGATTGATAAAGTAAGCGTACGTGTTTTTCATTCGGTTTTTTTTGCGTGAACTGATAGCAAACGAAGAGGCTGTATATGATAGAACATCATTGTTAAATAAAATATCATTAAAAAAGAATCGATTATAACATGCTGGAAAAAGATATATAAATAACAAGAACTATTGTATTATAAAAACGCCATTTTTTTTGGCGAAAATATTCTTTTCTTGTGACATATTAATTAGACAACACGGAGTGCGGTGTGTATATAATCATCGTCTTATTGACAGTGGTTATGCCAGGCTCCGAAGGTTAGAAAGAGGATGTGATAAAGAGTTGTAAAAAATGTTCTCAGAAAGGTCGTGTAAAATGTCAAAAGCTAAGTTTCCGTTTTGCAATATGTTGATGATTGGAAAGAAAAGGTTGCACATTTTTTTCTCACTTAAATAGTCTCTGCTTATTTGATAGAAAATTGACATGATTGTTAATTTGTATGCTCGAGAAGATATGCAATTATATTAAAATGACAATAACTATTAAATTGTTCTGATTATGTAATTGGTTCATTTTTTTGTCAATGAATAACATAATCAATACATGGTGAACTCTTTTGAATCTGTGTTACATATTTATCAAGATGAAGTCAATCTAACTGATTAACATAGGAATAGCTTTCCTTGAAAATGAGATCGTTTTTAAAAAACAAAATCTATTGGTTCGATCCTAGAAAACATTGTTTGTTTTTCTTTTTACTATGAAAAATTTACATGAACAAATTATTGATAACATCGATGAACACCATTGTCAAGACAGTCATTCTTATTAATATTGTTTCAGCCTAATATTAAACTAAATTCGATCTTAACCTATTAAATTTCATTATACTTGATTGAATATGTAGCAGAGTTGCAACCGATAGAGATTTTTCTTTATCTGTACCCGTCTAAACTGGTCAGATTGTACTGAATTGGAATGAGTCATTTTTTAAACTTTTCTCAATCCCTAATAGTCAAATATATCTCTCAATTAGTCACAGCTGCCTCTGAATTACTACAGAAATTACGTAGATCTCCCATTTCACTATTATAGTAAGCATGATTGTTAATGAATGGTAAAGTACATGGCAAGAAAATTATACTCATAGTACTCAGCTTGTCGCAAGGACGTTGACAACATGCCCATGTTCCTTTCACCTTTTGATAGACTATGACAGAGGCCTTGACATGTCTGCCACGGCCTATAACAACTTAGTGGATTCTTCGACAGAATATAGTCTAAAATGTTTTTTATAAAATGTCATCGACTTTTCATCCTCGTAAAAAAAAATGTTCTCGTCTTTTCATCCTTGAAAAAATGTCCTTGGAAAATGGTCCCTCGTTTGCTTTGGTAGATAATTAAATTGTTTATCTTGAGAATTTATTTCATATAGAAATAAATCGAGTAAGAATGAAAGAAAATTTTATTAGAATACGATTAGTTGTTCTTATATCGTTTTTTATAAATATTCAAGAAAAGACTTTCAAATTAATTAAATCACACAACATAATGACGAAGGTGTTGGTGTGGGTAGGAACGAAGCGTCTATTCTACCCACAATCACACCCTACACTCGCACTCACACCCAAAATCGTATCTACATGGAAACCCATAATCATACCCCACACTCTATTATTATCAAGCATTGTCTGCACTCGCTGAAACGACATTTTACAGAAAATTTCATAGGACTACAAATTCTATATTAGCTTTGTATATTAATTATATGTTCTTCAGACATAGAAATTATGAATCACTTGTAAATTTACTCTGCTTCTCACGATAGATCTACTTTGTTATCTGTTATGTGTCATGTGTCTGCGAAAGATATGGTATAAATAATACAAAATGAAAATAAATATACAGTAGAACCTCTACATCGGAATTGACAAAAGTCGTTCAGTATAACAGGGTATTCATAAAAGGAAAGATCAATCAACATATCAGTTTTATCATTTTCGGTCTTCTTTTACATGCTTTTTAATATTTTATTAAATAGTTTTTGACTTTTAGTATTTCAAACATCATATTGAGATCTTATATAATTAGGTTTAAATACTATCATTGATGATTTGACTAAAACCATAATTTACCTTGCGCTTCATGTTTTTTGTTTAGATTAATTTCATAATCAATAATATATTCATTCAATTTTTTTCTCTTTTAAGAATATTTGACACAACACCAATGTATATTTAGAATTCATCTCTTTGTTCATGATAAAATAAACTAAGTTTCTTTGTCTGTAATTATATCCATTTTTTTTTCTCTAAAGTAAGAACATTGAGAGATATTATATGTAATAAACAATGGTCGAGAAGGTGCTTGATAAGACAACGATATCTGTCTGACCTTTCCTTCTCTTTTTTTCGCTTTTATTGAAGTAAATTATAGGGTCAATTTATGTCTTTGATAATCACTATCACAGCGTCAACCATATGATTTATTCAAGTAGCGCCTTCTGTTAATATTCACATTGATAAAATCGATACATGTGAACAGGACCAAAAAAAATGTGTTGACATTCAGAATCAAGAGGTATTCATAAAGGAGGAATGTAAAAGCCGACAAAATTCGTTCGGAGGAACTGAAAAGTGTTCAATATAACAGGGTTTTCACTGAGAAAGAGGTTTTATTGTATGATAAATTATAATGACGAATAATGATTCCATCTTGTTTTGGATAACATAACTTGAAATCAATGTGAGTCGGTAAAATATATTAGTTGTATTGTGATGAATATTTACTTAATAGAAATATTCTAATACATATTATCTCATAGAAATAATCATTAACATCTGTAAAAAATACTCTGATTTACGAAAAAATCTCTACCAGATCGGCCACTTACCATTACCAATTGCAACTTTGATATGATGCTTTCTTCATAAATTTAAAGCAATTATTGAATTTATTGATAAAATTCTGGTTCATCTATTGTTGCAAAAAAAATGGCACTTTTACTTGAAGCAAAATATTTGAGCTTTTCTGATCAACAAATTGCTCAGTATTTTAATACTCATGAAAATGAAGTTCATGGATCATGTGAACTAAATATTATTCATTCATTTATTAAATAAATTATTTTTATTTAACATATTTTTGCATTTATTTTTCAAATATAATAGGCTTTTCATGTCTGAGGAAAAAAACTACAGAATTAATAAGCATTTCTAATTAATACTTTTTGATCACTATGATTTGACTGGAAAAATACTCTTAATATTTTCATATTGCATTTTATTAATTTAGTTCGAACACAATCAAGATTTTAACAAAGGAAAATAAACATAAAAGTCTTTTGAATGTGTTGTTACTCTTTCGTTAAACAATTCTAATTTTTTCACATTAATACAATTAAGCCGTGTTGTATCTTTTGTAAAGTTATCTGTGACGATTGTTAAATGATTATCATCAATTGCTAATACAGTTAGACGAGGTAGATGTGTTTTTCTCTCATTGAGAAATTGATCGACATAGTCAATATGAACATTCACAAGAAAAAGAGAATTAAGATAATTCAATTTAACAATTGAATATAATTGATTATCATTAGAGTTTCGTTCGTCGGATATTGATGATTGTGGATTAGAATTAACAACACATAAGTCTTTAAGCAAAGGAAAAGAGAAAGCAATTCGCTTGAAAAATTCACGTTTGAATGGAAAATTATCTTTCACCGATAATTTTCTAACATGATTGAAAATAATATTTGGAAATGTATTACCAATATCGTTGAGACGTTCAAACATAAACGGTAATGAAAAGACATGACATTGAGGAAATTTATATTCAGAGTTTACAATACAATCCACTGGTTGATATTTTATGTTATTAATAAGTGTTCGTTGAATATCATCTTTCGATAGATGATGAACTAAATGATCCATTTTAGGGCAGGTAGAAATATAAAAGTTAAATATATGAAGTCGTGGTAAATGAACAAGAATTTCATTATAAATGTGAGTACCATCGATAAATGTAGTTCGATCATAGACCATAATATACAAAGTTAATTCTTCAAGATTTGGTATATGACGAAAAAGAGGTAGAATCTCAGTATCATAACGATCAGTTAAGTAGTAAAACGATGTTAAAGAGAAAGATTTCATATTAGGTAGATCATTCTAGAAAATAAAAAACAATATTTCTAAATATATTCCTATTGATTCAACAAGAAAAACTTCAGGTAAATAACTGTTCAAAAAGCTACTTAAATTCAATTCAGTTTTAAATAGTTCTACTATATGATGTATAGATCTTCTTCTGCAATGATGATTAAGGTAATTATATTGTATTTCAGAACTTTTATCACATAAGAAATAATGGATACTGAGATTACTCGAAAAGTTTCAGTCAAGATTGTTCTTATATATCTATACTAGAACAATATTATTTGTATAGACAATAATTCATATCATCAGATATGACACATGACTATTATCATTATATATCAAATCATCAGAATTCAATCGAACAAATCTTGTTTATATTAAAATCTTCATCGAAAACTCATCCGTTAAAAACAAACGAAAAGTTACATGAATGTAACTTTTCTATAATTGTTTCTATATTTAATATTCTTTATCTAGTATTACCTATAATTCACGAACCTCTTGCTTTTAGTTTTCTTTTTCACTTTCCTTATTATCTTTGACACTTATACTCTTTAATATTTATAATTCTTATAGTTTTTCTATATGTTATAAAGTAATAAAATTCACCTTCACTAATTCGACCACTAGTTTCTTGGAGACATAAAAACAGAGGTCCGACTATTTTTTCTTCCATATTAATAAAAGACTGAATAGTATAAGAGTGAGTACTTGCATTCTTGGATTTTACCGAACCAGCTGTTATCTTTTCGCCATTAAAAGTTAGCGTGCGATTGCTTTGAAATTCTTTCACCAAATTAACTTGATCTGTATTAAATATTTCACTTGATGAATAGTTCTTCATCACTGCTCAAACAGCGTTGACAAAGTCTTCAGCTGTACTATCAATTTCATCAGCGTTTCTTATTGATTGGCTGCTAACAACTTTAGAAATCTTGCGAGAAACAATACCATGTTTGTGCTTGAAATTATGAATCTACCAATTGGAAGCAACAAATTTATACATTGATTGTTCTCGAGTCTTCACAATAGCCCATCGTTGTAAATCTGCATCATGAATACATAACGATTGATCACGAGCTTCTTTGAACATTGTAAAAACATAGGAATCGATTTCGTGTACTTTTTGGTGTTTTGATTCATGACGACTAACATAATCGCGAAAGCGAACGATATATTGTCTGTGAGGAATTCGAGTAAATCGATGGCTAACACTTTTCCAGCTATGTTTACGTTTTCCGTTCTGGTCGACTTTGTCGTAATAATCTAGCACTTGTTTCATGTAATCAAGAGAAAATTTGCGTGTTGGTTGCTTATCATCATTTTCTTCTTCTTCTTCTGTTGAGTCCATTTGTTCCTCATTATCTTCTATTTCTTCTTCGGATTCTAACTCTTGATTGTCTTCACTTGCTTGAGACTCATTTCCTGAGAACTTATCCGATGAATCGATTTGATCAAGTGTAGATTCATCGTAAATTTCGAACGATGAGGTAGACAAGAAAGTTTGAATAGTTTCAAAAAGATACTCGATGAGCTCTTGAATTTGTTTATTTCCTTTTGGTTGATAAGTATCTCTTTTTGAGACTCGTTCAGATAGCATAGCTACGATATCAGCTGCTTCTATCATTTGTTTAAACAAAATGAAAAATGGCGTTATATTATATTGTATGCATTAAATGTTTTTCCCTGATATCGATATGATATACGTGGTCAACAAATATCGACGGTCATTTTCCTCTTTCATTTTTTTCTCTTATTTTCTCTAGAACATCACATGCCAGCAAGTCTTAAATAACTATAATTTGATCTTCAGCATTCCAACAGAATTATGTGTTAAAAATTACTGTACAATAGCAATTACTTCAGCTATCTGTATAAAGACTAATACAGAACTATTTAGACAAAAAATGCTTCGAAAATGAAAAAGTCCCTTTTTTTTACGATATATTTTTGGTCATATCTCGGGAACGACGAGGCATGGGGACGAACACTTCTAGAGTTTTCTTAGTCTCACTGAGGCCTATCTATAGCCAAAAGATGAAGCCAAAAGCTCGGAATCGTTTGGAGTAGTTCCCTCGTGAGAGAAAGATTTTACTATATGATAAATTACAATGACGAACAATGATTTCATTTTGTTTTTTGATAACATAACTTGAAATCAATGTGAGTCGGTAAAATATATTAAGTGTATTATGATGAATATATACTTAATAGAAATATCCTAATACATATTATCTCATAGAAATAATTATTAGCATCTGTAAAAAATGCTCTGATTTACGAAAAAAATCTCTACCAGATCGGCCATTTACCATTACCAATTGCAACTTTGATATGTAGTTTATTAATTATTTTTATTATTCGAATTACACGTCATTCTGTTTACACTCATACAATTCGTTCAATAAACTATATGAATATGAAAGAAAAATCTATGATTTAACTTTGAATCAAATACGAATATTTCTTACCCGCATATTTGAATATGTGTTTTATATCTTTTTTTTCTTTTCATTTTAAACATTACTTAAACAAAAAAAAATTATTGTTAATGATAAATTCATTATGAGTGCTTACTATTTACAAACATTTCTTTCTCGTTTTCCAATTAGTCAATATTTAGATATGAATCAAAAAGCTCAACATTGTTTTTTACTCGACGGTAAAACAATTCTTCCAATTAATTACAATTATCAATTATTTATACCTTTAAAAATACTAAACACTACTGAAAATAAATATTGTTCATGTTGTCAAAAAAAATATCAATCACATTTATTCGATCATTATCGTCAGCAATCACTTGATGAAAATATAAAAACAACTAATATTGCCGAAAGATGTAAAGGTACTCGGTTATAAATATTGAATAAGTCGGAAATACAAGCAACTAGTGATCTGCGGTTTTCAACAATTGATAGAGATGACATGGAAACATCTTTTTCTTCGATAATATATAGAACAGAATCATTTTAAAACTATTGATTTCCACAAAAAAAATTCACAAAACGTTATGAAAATAGTTGGTCATTCCGAATGATATTTTGATAACAAGTACGACATGACCAACCCATCCATCACCTATACATGACAAGGGTTCGAACTTAAAATTGAAGAAAACTGAGTCCATCATTTAAAAAAAGAACGATCAATAGTATTTGAAACGTAAACGTTTCTGTTTCTGAGCCGCATTGAATGATATGAAAACGCTAAATCTTTCTTGGAGTGAACAATTCGAAAATTTGTATAAAAGATGATTGCCAAATACATCATCAAACAAGAATCGATCAGATACAAAGTACTCTTTCAATATATGACCTTCGTAGAAATGTTAGATGTCTATGAATCAAAATAATGCTTTCAAAAACTACCTCTATTTTTGATGAAATTTTGTAACGAACGACATTTTCTAAATAGTTCAGCTCCAGCTAAAGAAAAATCAATGAAATTTTTACTAATAGTAGATCTTAAATGGTCTCTATTCATAATAATAGTTTCAAAGAATTTGTTCTTGCCATCGACGAGAAATAGATGTTACAATGTAAAAAAAAAAGACATGAAATTCCGTAATGCTTAATCATGCCGAGTAAGAAAATTTTCTTAAAAATCAACAAAATTTCCTTGATTATTCAATCGAAAATATATACAATTTTATTTGCTCAACATTAGGATATGAAAAGATAATTGATATGACCTGTATCTTCTTTAGATGAGATCATAAGAGCTTCATTATATATCCATATAGGAGTTCTTCTCCTTTTCTCTTATTGTTAGTTATGATTCATGAATTTTCCTTTCCCGTCATATATAAATATATATATATGGGGTTGGTCAGTCTGACCGGGTATCCCAATTTGCTTTCGTTCTACTATCAGTTAATAATCTAACCATAGTCGGGTCAAATTATCGCTCTCATCGCTAAACTAGTAAATTTAAAATATTAGTTGCTGATGGCTGTCTTCTAACGAAATTATTCTGTCCATGAAACTGTCTCCTATCGTTTTTAACGGATTGAATAATTTCGTTATAAGACAGCCATCAGCAACTAATATTTTAAATTTACTAGTTTAGCAATGAGAGCGATAATTTGACCCGAATATGGTTAGGTTATTAACTGATAATAGAATGAAAGAAAATTGGAGTATCCGCCCAAACTGGCTAACCTCATATATATATATGTTGTAGACAAAATTAGAATTCACTAAAAGTCGAATGGAATGAAAAAACAAGAGAGAAAACTGTAATCGTAGCGATTGTGTCGATGAGTGCTATAAATATAGATATACGCGTTATAATCTAATCAAAACAATGCCTGAATCGAGTACAATAACTAGTTACACTTGCGACTATAAAGACAAGTACACTACAAGAAAATTGAAGTTTTTTATTCGACAAAGTGTCATTTAAAACAAGATAGTTGTACGCAAATGGATGAATAGATTTTAAAAAAGTTTGTCTTATATATTGTTTAGTGAAAGTCAATATTAATTAAAATTTTAATCTATTAGAACTCGAATTTTGTCTAGAGTATATGTGTAATAACCATTTCTCTTTTCTTCTAATCTTCTTTGTTTAAATTTGTTTTATGGATCTTCATTGATTCTTCAAAATCTATGAGACTTTTATTTTTCCTCTCTTGTCATCGCTTTATACGTAGTCGTTACATTGTTGCGAAGAATTTGGATATATAATGATATATCCAGAAATAAACTATAAGGAGAATTATGATTTCACAATAATCATTCAAATTGTTTGTTTAATTATAGATCTCAAGTCCTTCTATGTAAGTGGTGTATCAAAATAATAATTTCATCGGAATGACAGACTATTTTTTTCTAATGTTTTATGGAAATAATTGGTGTCAAAATGATTTTGTCCTCTATAACGGTTGATTGGAACGGTTTTAGACAAGATTCTTGTTCATTTTTGACTCTATAGAAAATATTACTGATTAGTTAGAACTAGAGTTTTGTGTGGTTAGAAATTTTGTCATAGTTTTTGTTCGAGAATAGTGAAATACTCTTTGAAAAGCAAAAGAAAATTAGTTTGAATGGAACTTGTAGTCCGGCGTATCCGCTGAACATGTTTGTTTATTTTAGCCTGCTCGAAAGCATTTCAGATGAGTGAAAAACTATAATTTTCGATCAGAATTCGAATATGAACTTAGAAAAGTTTTTTTTCTATTTTTGTTCAAGTGTAGTAAGAAACTTTTTTTGAAAGATCTAAAAAATTATTTTCAATAGTTAGCCAACAGGTTTTTGCCTACACTATAAGTTCCTTTTCGAACATATTAAAAACTATCGGAGTCGGTCGCTGTGTAGAGCGAGCGTTTATCTAGAAAATGTGATGTTGAACTAATGAGAGAACCTGTTCAGCTGTTCCCTTTCGATTTCAATGGCTTTTGCCTATAGATACTATATAGTGCTCTAATAAAAACCCCAAAAGGATTTGAGCTCCTAGTGATAGTCGACTAAGCTATCGAATTTTTTTTCTAGAGACTTCAGGCTTTCGGAAAATTCGTCTTTTCAAATTTTGATCTGGAACTTTGTGTATATAGAGAATAGCTTACATAAAAAATTCACAAATTTGGAACAAAATCTCTTCGAGATATGAGATTTTCAAGATATAGATCCTTTTTCATGGGTAGTGTATACAACATGTATTTTTTGAAAGCTTCATATCTCGAAAAGATTTTGTTCGAAACTTGTGAATTTTTTTATATAAGCTAGTCCAGTTGAGTTCTCTATATGTGCGCAAAGTTCCAAATCAAAATTCCGTAGCTTAGTGAAATCTTAATAGAAACTTAAATCTTTTTGGATTTTTCATTAGAATACGAAGTAGTATTTATAGACAAAAAATAATCATTGAAATCGCAAAGGAGAGAACTGAAGAGATTCTCTCGTAAGCTGTAGCTTTTACTCATATGAGGCTATAAGGATTTTTTCAAAAATAAGTATTTAAGAAAAACGAGACTAGAGGTGTTTCGTCGAAAAACAAAAAAATCTTCAACTGATGTATTTTATAAGGTATTTTCTTGATTTGTAAACTAATATATAAATAAAGAACCCAATTTTTCAGTTTCGAATCGCGATAGTGAATAAAGAAAAATTTTCCGTCCAAACTAAATTTGTTGAGCTTTTCAAAAAATATTTCACTACTTTCGAACAAAAACGGTGACAAAATTTTGGTTCTAACTCATTGAAAGTACATGCTCTAAAGGGTCCAAATTGAACAAACATCTTGTCTAAAAACATTCCGATCATCTGTTATTATCGGAGAAAAAAAATACGCCCCCATATCTTTCGTTCCATTGCTGAAAACCGCAAATTACTAACTGCTTGCATCAATTTTTAACCGAATCTCGCACTAACATCGATAATAATAAAACATTATCAAATAGATCAAGAAATTCTTTGTTCTCGGTCATTACAATCAATAACAAAATTATCTGAAAAGAAATGTTTTAACAAAAAAATATCATCATCTAAGATTGCAATTGTAAAACCAAATGAGTGTAAATATTATCAATCTGTTCGACAAATAAATAATAATAAAAATAATATTGAAACATGTATATTAAATAAATTAATAAATAATTCTTATCTCAAAAATTATTCTTTACATTTTACAGATTTAATCACCCCTCATATGAAACCCTCGATGGATTCAAATCAGATTAATAATAATCAATCACGTAAATCTCCATCAGCAATCACTATTATTATCAAACCATTTATATCTTCAGAATATTCTAATCGTTATTATCAAAAAGAAATCTCTCTTAATAAAAAATTGTCTTCAAATAAACGGAAATATTCATCATCCTCATCATTAAAAAGTATAACTAAACGAATATCAACTTCCTTGTCAGATAAAACATTAAATAAAACATATCATAAACATCGTTTATCTACATTTAAAGATATAACACGACCAATTCTTTCAAATTCAACTGAAATAAATCATAATGAAAATAAATCATCAAATATTCTTCATTCTCGAACACTTCTCAATATTTATCGTAATAAAAAACAATATATGAAAGAAAAATAATTTTTTTATTATTTTGAATCAATCAAACAAATAAACAGACATAAATAAATATATATATATTTTTTTTTAAATGTTTTTTTTATTTGTTACTAATCTTCAACTGAAAATGACATTCAACTTTATCAACAAAAATTGTATTAATTTTTGTTTCCATATCTTTTTTTAATATTAATTTATTACGATCTAAATTCTTTCGTGAATGTGCATATAATTCATCCAAACTAAAACAAATAGAAAAATATAAATCGCAATAAAAATTAACATATGTCAAATCAGTCAACGAAGACTAATGATAATGTACAAACAAAAATTGAAAAAATATGCCAACCAGATTGAGATCATCAAAACTATTTATCTTTAAAGACATTGCCGTATTTCTTATGTTGACATTTCGCTTATAGATGATAAATGATTCGTACCTGCTCTTGCTATTTCTTTTTGCTCTCTAACTTTCTGCCTTCTCTATTGCGATTCATAAAGTCAAACAGAACTGAGAATAACAAGAGGGTAAGTCTATTTTTCTTTTATAACGTCATACAGTTCTTAAAGTTTTTATATTTCACATTCAATTTCTCGAATTTCTTCTATAAGATGTTTTTATTGTGCATTATAAATAAATTCAATGACGAATATCAAGATACGTATGAGCCAATTTTAAATATTGTTCTTAATCATGTATAGAGTTTTTTCTTTTTCAGTATTTTTAATACCTTCTTCGAGTTGATTAAATAATAGATTAATCTAAGTCATAAATAATGAATAAACAAAAAGTAAAAGAAAATCTTCTTATATAAATTACTTTTTCTTTACATCATGTAATTGATCTTCCAGTTTTTTTGTTTCATTTGTTTTGATTTATAAATGTATCTATCAAATCAACGTTGTGTATATTCAATAGTTTGTTTTATATTAGCAATAAGCTTCTTTTTTTTTTAATATACCATCAATTACTTTACGTAATTATATAGTATTAAGTCGTTGTATTTCAACATTTTTGATATTTTCTATCTAAATATTCTTTCTAAAATGGTTCGGAAACTGATCTAATCAAAAAATAATAAGAATGTTAATCTTTTCAAAGAAACTTGATCTTTATTTTTTTTTTCTATTAAAGACGAAAGAATTCATCTTGAAAGAATATCTTTCGTCAGAAGTACTATAGTAATTCTCATCTATCTCTATATATAGTTTGGGGTATGTTTTACTTGCTTTAGTACAAATATAATACACCCATGGGCGTTTTTTTCCATCTTCATCGATCTTTAGACTATCGACTAGAAAGTTCATTTTGTACTAGTCTCAAGAGAATTCTTTAGTGGTTTTTCTTGCTTGTTTTGTTTTTTCTGCTAGTAGATTATTTTCTCATATGATAGAATTTGAAATAACATACCAAAAATTAATATATATGTTATATCTTTCTTTAAGATATAAATTATTGAAGTTTTGTTAAATTTAAATTAATAGAATGTTCATCGATTGATTGTGTAGTAAATTTGTTTTTAAGATCTCGAGCGAGTTTTGCGCATCAGTCTTTAGAAATAGAATAGAACATAATTATGTCTCTATTGAATTGTTCCGAAAAAAGAAAGAAAGAAAGAAAGATGAAGAAAGGCATAGCGCCGGATTCGATCAGTGCATGCCGAACATATATACAAAGAATGATGAAAGAATGAATAAGAGACAGGAAGTCATGTAGACGACTTTCAACACATACGGATATAATTCTAATCGACACTTAGATAGAAAAGATTGTAAAAAAAAAAAAAAAAGAAATAAGAGAAGAAGACGAAGTGAAGAGAAGAAAAATAAGACGAAGAAGAATGCGTAAATTAAAAGAAAAAGACGCAAGAAAATCATGTTTCACCTGTTTATTACCAATTTTAGATGACATTTCTTATCTATTTCTCTTCTTGTCTATTAGATTTTGTTGATGTTATTAATAACAATAATGGTCAATATATACTAAATAGTAATTGATTTTTAATTTTAACCTAACAAATACGAGAATATATATATGATTATTTCCATTCTTCTTTTTTTCTTTTTTTTTTTTTGTATTCTCCTAATTCATTTTGTCATTCTTTCAGATACAATCGAACAAATTGTTTGGATGATACCAAAGAGATATTTGTATGAGTATATTCATTTACAATATGGTATCTGTTAGAAAATATTAAAGCATTAACAATTTATTGTATGTATATATATTTATATATATGTGTATGATACAATAACAGACAGAAATATAGCTAACATTGCTACTTAGACCATGGTGTTTTCTCTAGTAAACGAAGATATGATGTGTCTAAATGACCAAATACTATACTATTAAATAATAATAACATAGAAAATAAGATATAAATAGCAAGAGAAATAACGTATGCAAACATATATATATATATATATATATATATCGATATATAAAAAAACAAAGAATAGTATCAGTGAACAATAAATAAAGAAAAGAACAAATGATAGATATTAATTATCCATTAGAATTGTATGATATGAATGTTAATGTATAGTATTCATTATGTAATACAAAGCTTTTGTTACTTGTAAGATTTATTTTTATTTTCTTTTCTCATACTTTCTTTCAATACTATTATTAATATTATTATCTTTTGAGAGTTATGTATTGAAAAAGAAAAATGAATGTACAACAGTTGTGTAGTGAAATAAATTGATGAACAAAGAGGCCGCATTCGTGCATACCCATGAGAAATGTCATCATCGTATCAGTTTGCACTAGAAGCGAAATAGACGTGCTTATATGTGTATACATATCAGTCGACGAATGTTTGTGTGAGTAAAATCTTCCTAATCGACACGTTGCACCACACAAACAGTTACTAACGATCTGATATTAAAGGAATTTCTTGACTATCTACATGTATATATATATACATATTTGTGTGTGATGAAAGACCAGAAGCATATTGCGTCGGGTTACATCGATTTTGGAAGAAGGTGATATCATCATCATCATTTTTCCTTTCTTTCTCCCTCTCTCTCTCTCTCTCGCTTTATCGTTTTCTCTTCTAAGTCAAACTGTTATTATTGATGCTTATTATAGTCTTTAGTTTTTTTTTTCTGTGTCTGTTTTCTAAATATATATAGGCAAAGTTCTATTCTCTCGTTTTTTTTTTCTTGTATTGTAGTTGTCATCAAACAATTGCAGACAATTATATAGGCGCATTTATACATTTGTATGTTATAAATGAAAAAAAAAAATATCCATCGACCAGTATTACAATATCAGATCTTGATGATGCGAGTAGCAGTATTAACCTTGTGATTGTTATCGTTCTAACACATATAATAGAGACTTTTTTCTTTCTATTTCTTTCTTTTTATTCAGCTTCAAGAAATTCTTCTTACCTTGATATTATTTGTCGTTTATAGATTTAATTATAAGACATTTTTTTATTGAAAGTGGTATATGATCAGCAAGAGCGAGAACATGTTCTAATGTGCTGAGAGAATCATGATGTTCAATCGATTGACAACGTTGACGTATGGCGTTTCTCTTATTGAAAGGCATTCCGAGTCTTGCCGGTCACAACCAAGCGCCTCAAGCTGATCCAGATGATTTTGTTGATCGTCTTAACTATCGTTATACAGTTATTTTACTTAATGTTTTTTCAGCCATTGTTACAAATCGACAATTTAGTTCGAAACAAATTCAATGTAAATATTTATTTATTTCGTATTAATTGATCTTTGAAGAGACATTAAAAAAAAATGATATTCAAATATTATTTTTCATTTTTATTTTTTGTCAGGTTGGGTACCAGCTATGTTTACATCTGGTTATGAAGATTATACAAATCATATATGTTATATTACAAATACTTATTATGTTAATCAAACACAAAAAATCCCAGGTACACGTGCAGAACGACAAAGTTTACAATTATTATATTATCAATGGATACCATTTATTCTTTGCTTTCTTAGGTAATAGAAATATTTGAATAAAAAACAAACAAAAAAATCAATTTCTTTTCTTTTTTTAAGCATTCTTTTCTACATTCCAAATCTTTTTTGGCAATCTCTTATGAGTCGAAGTGGTTTGGATGTAAAAGATATAATTGAAGCTGGTAAAAGTTATAAATCAATTGATAGAATGGATAAAAGACGTAAAATAATGAATTATATAATTGCATCTATTGATGAATTTATTGATGATCCAAGACGTGGAAGAGAAAATCGACATATAAGTTTACTTAAACGTATTCAAGCAATTTTTTGTTGTATGTATGGAAAATTTCAAGGCAATTATTTTATGATGGTTTATTTATTAACAAAAATTCTTTATGTTTTTAATTCAATTGGTCAATTAGCATTATTAAATGAAATGCTTGGAATAAAATATTATCGTTATGGTTTAGAATTATTACAAAAATTAATATTACTTATACAAAATCAACCACTTCAACAATCGTATAGACAACAAAGTGGTCTTTCAAAATATTTTCCTAAAGTAACATTATGCGATTTTGAGTAAGTTTAATCTATATATATTAAAAAAATAAAATATATTTATTTAAATATTATTTTTGTTTCTTATAGAGTACGTGAACCTAATCATTTATATAATTCACATCGATATACAGTTGAATGTGTTTTACCTAATAATCTTTTATTTGAACAATTATTTACATTTTTATTTTTTTGGTATACTATGATTGTTATTTTGAATATAATTTCATTATTTACATGGTCATATTCATTTATACGATCAGTTCGAATAAAATATGTAACAACAAGATTAAAATTGATATTAATAAGACATTTACGAAAGTCCATGATAACTAGTGATGAACCTTCTCAAGAACAGCAACAACAACAACAAATCATAGCTGGTGATTCTCTGTTACATCGTGATGATTCTCATTTAGATTTTGCTAATAATTATTTAAAATGTGATGGAATATTTGTACTACGTTTATTAGAAACTAATACATCAGATTTTGTTGTAACACATGTTATTGAAG